ACAGAGAGCAAACCCCATCCCATTCTAGCACTGAAGATGTTACCTAGCCAGGTAATGAAACTTTGCAAGAAAACAGCCAAGCTCAGAGAACCCCAAGGACTCCACATAAGAGGGTGTCATACTGTTGAAACTGGTTTTCATATATATGAGACTGCTGGAGTTGAATCGGTTCAGTGTTGACATCTAATCAGTGAAATGGTTCCTTTTCACTGTAGTAATTCTTCAGAGGATTAGAATAATTTATCAAGAATAGCGGTGTTCTCTTCCTTGGTGTGTTATATTCTATTCACAGTATCAGATTCTCTTTTTACATCTGTGAGGGTAGTAGTGCCCTCTGCTGGACTCAAGTGGTTATTATTTAACAGGACTGAATTGATGACTTTTGTTACATCATTTTGTATTCCATCAGCTCAAGAGAGCTTACCTTGCAGGAGAAAGGTATTCCATGTTATGGGTGCTGCTGGAGGCAATGAATCCATATATAAAATCAGTGGTAGTACCAGAGATGAGAGGTTGTTTGGATAAGAGGCCTCTTCCTATGAGCACAAACTGGAAAAATGGAGACATTTGGCAAAGGAGGACATAATTTTATTGGTCACGTGTGAAGCTTTAATAATCCAGCAATTCTGGAACTCATAAAGTGATTCCATAGTTTCCTCAGCTACCAGTTGATATATTTCCTGACCATCTAGAGTAAAAAGTATAAGTGTCATTCTAAAGAGGCCAGGCCATACAATACATCTTATCTTCCAGTAGTACCACTCCCGTCCAGGACCAACCTTTGCTCTCTGTTTGAGATATGCCTTGAAAACACCATTGTAGTGGTTATGTTCTACACTGGCATTCTGATATTGCTAGATTTGTAGCATGTGAATGAATATAGCCAGGTTTCTCCATGAAAGAGCCTAGGCAAGAATGTTCAAGTAATGTTAATGCTGCTATTTTCTAGTTATTGCCTTGATATGTCATACTGTATTTCTTTGAATGCATTGATTTGGCTGGGTGATACAAAGCACTTTTTTTCAAACCGAACTTAGTTAGATTGTTGTAGAAATAGGCAGGCTTTCAGTCTTCTTTTATTGCTTCTAAAACATTTCTGTGTATCTAAATTGTTACCATCTAAGTGCTTCCTCTTTCTTATTTGTTTGTTTGATTGATTTATACTCTGCCTTTCTGCTCAAATGAGCACTTAAGAAGGCTAGCATAAGTTAAAAACATGAAGGATTTTTAAAAAATGGAAATGGATGCTAAAATCAATAACCAATTAAAATCCTAGGAAAAGAGAAGCTTCTTTACAGATTTTTTTTTTTTTAATGCTGAGAGAGTTGGGTGCTAAACGTAACTTCTGAAGGAATGAGTTCCATACCTCTCCACCAGGCCTCTCCCATTCTGACAATGGGGGCATCTTCAACAGGGCTTCTGCAGACCTTACAGCAGTGTTTCTCAACCTTGGCAACTTTAAGATGTGTGGACTTCAACATTCCGGGTTGGGGGTTCTGTGAGTTGAAGTCCACAACACTTAAAATTGCCCAGGTTGAGAAATACTGCCTTACAGGTTGGACAGGTGCAGAACAGGAGATAGGATCTCTCGGATAGTTAGGGCTTTGAAGGTCAATAAAACACCTTAACTTGTATCCAGCGAGGAACTGGCAAACAGTGTTGATCTTTTAGTATCTTCATGAGATCCTTGTGCTTTGTATCAGTCAACAGCCTAGCTGCACCAGTTATAACTTCTAGGCGCTTCTCAGTGGTGTGCCCCATTTTAGATATGTGGAATATGGTTTTTAGGACTCAAGTAGAAACTAGTAACAATTATTAATGTTAGATTGATTGATTATGTGCCATCAAGTTGTTTTTGACTCCTAGTGACCACATAGATTTTCTCCATGAACTAATGTTAGATACAATATTCAAATATTTAACTGTGGCTTGAGGTTGGGCATATACATGGGAGAGAAGGGGTGGATGCAATTTGCTTTTTTCTTTTTTAACTTAAACATAGTAGTCTTTTTTGCATTATCTTTTTTTTCCCCTTGTTTACTTCCTTTGTATTCCAATATATGCATTTTTCTACATTCTTTATATTTTACTATTTTAATAATAAATACAAAAAAATGGTGTTCCCTATAAACAACAGGTTAAAATAGTTGAATGTAATCAAGGGACAGATTACTGCCACTGATGGTAGTTTTAACTGTGCAAAATGCTTCTTGCCAGCACCTGCAAATTCCGGTGACAGCTGAGGATCAAAGTATTTTCAGACCTCAGACCTATTATTTTGGGGGAGTGCAGCCCACCCTGTTCAAAACAGATTGAATCTCTGTCCCTGAGTCAATGACATCAAGGGACAGCAGGAGGATGAAAGTGGCATCAGAGTGTCATGAAGCAGGCCCATCCATGGTACACGTCTTGTGACATTACATACCCCAAAGGAGCAGAACCTCTGGCATGATGGTGGGATGCTGATTTTGTCATTTTGATGAAAGCAAAAAGCTGCTGCTGCTATACAGAGTCCAGTTTTCTACTTGCCAACAATGCCTGTATTTTCTCTGGACTTCAGTTCAGCTTGTAAACCATGTTCCTTTTAATTTGGGGAAAATGTTAGCTGATTCTGAAGGAGCAAAGAAGTGGGAAAATTGAAAACTGAACTGATCCAACAAATCTTAAAACCAGGTGGCTTAAAACATATACAAGTTTTTTTCAGTCTGTATTCTCTGACTTCACTAATCCATTTATGGATTGGGTCAAGGAGAGCACATACACAGGGAAGTTGCTTTTACTGGATAGCACCAAATGTATTGGGAAGACATTAGTATTTCTTACTCAGAGCAGGCTTCTAAATTGTGAGGAGGAAGACTTTTCTTCTTGCTTTGATTGAAAGGCTTTTTATGTATGCATTTTATAGACAGATGATTAAGGTACCTAAATAAGATGCATGGATGTTGTACACTTTACTTGGACAAAACTTTTTACATTACCTTCCAGTGTGCTTGAGCAAAACCCTTTTTTGAATATTACCTTGCAAATATATTCAGGCATGAATAATACCCACAGCAAGTACATGGAAGGACTAAGCCTGAATGGAGCATACCTTACCTGGGGAGTGTCTGATGCAAGCTAATAAGTTTCAGAAAG